ATGGCTTTCTAATTTAGGTGGTGACAGATAATATTGCTGTGAATTTTGTACATTTTTGGTGTCATGTACAAGTACATGGTGATGTTTGAAATTTTAAAATTTATCACCCCTCAAGAATAATCCCCCTAATATTGAACACACTTAATCTGTTGTTTTTACCACTTTCTGAAGTAGTTAATGGAAGTTTTATTTTGTGAATGTCTTTGCAGTGTAATAAATATTACAGTGCATGCTGTTGCCACGTGTCATCTAGTGGATAATCAGATTGTAAAAACATTATAGTGTGTCCTCACTTACCTTATTCACTGGATCTGGCATTGCGGTGCAACTTCTGGATCTTCTCCCAAAATCAAAATAACCATTTTAAATTCGGTTCACTAGAACTGCTTCAGAAAGTGGCAAGAAAAAGATGTTTGTTTGAATTGAGGGACAATATTTTGAGGGGTGGTAATGGTAACATATCTCTTACTGTCATACATTTTTTATATTTGAACATTCACTATAGCTTTTGGTCACACTTTGTATATGTGTTTTTGTTGGATACGTATCTAGGAAGGAATGGACTTTATGGTATATAGATAGACTCAGCTTTAGATGATAGGGTTTATGGTTGAAACATTTTGCAAAGTGGTTGTATACAGTTACTGACCTACCAGAAGTGTGGGAGTTGTAGTTGCTCCACCTTTTTGCCAACTTTTGACAGGGTCTGTTTAGAAATTTCAGTCAGTCCAGTGTATATGATAACTTATTAAACTTACTAAATTTATTCTCTTAATGTCTAATGTTTACTACTTTTGCATACTTTTATGGGTCATTTTGATGAATTACTATTTCCCTTTCTCCACAGCCTTAGAAATAGTAGATTGCGGAGAATACTTATGTACCATGTGTAAGACACTAACATAGTGCAGTATTTTCTTGTTGTGTACAGGAAGACACTGAGGAAGATTTAAACTTGGCTGCCTTATACTGAAAATTTACTTTTAAGGTATAGATTGAAAAATCCCTTATCAAAAATGCTTGGGTATTTCAGATTTTGAGGGTTTTTTGTTTGATTTGTATAAACTTTACCAGTTAAGCATCTCAAATCTGAAACACTCCAAAATATGAAACTTGTCTCAAGTTTTGGATTAGGGATGCTCACCCTCTTTGTCTCTTAAATTGGTATAAATTTGGCAAAGGAGACTTACTAAGGACTTGTAAGATTAAATTGATGTTTAGGATTCCAAAATACAACCAGATGCATATGAATAAGTGCAGTCGTTTAAAACTATGTCCTTTCTATATGAACAGTCTTAATACTTGTTGTATTATTTGCTCATTGAAGGAGCATAGAAAAGTAGAAGACCAAGTTTTCTCTTGTAGATTATAACCTATATTGGAAATTCTTCCTTAAGGAAGATTGGTTCATTTAGTAAAACATTTTCTGAGCATTTTTGTGTGAAGCATTCATTATCTAAAGGGATATATAAACAAATATTACTCTACCATAAGTGTGTATAAGAGAGATAACTTTCAGGCTAGTCTTGAAGGATAGATATTAGATGAAAAACAAATAGAGCTGAAGAACAGTCTGCAAGATGACTAGCTCATGTAAAAGTGTGTGACATTGGAAAAAGATACATGTTTTTAAAATGAGGAGAGGGCCGGGGATTTAGCTCAGCGGTTAAGTGGCCTGCCTCTCAAGCTCAAGGATCTGACTT